AACCGATGGATGGATGGATGGATGGATGGATGGATGGATGGATGGATGGATGGATGGATGGATGGATGGATGGATGGATGGATGGATGGATGGATGGATGGATGGATGGATGGATGGATGGATGGATGGATTTTGATAGTAGCTTTATTAACTCAACAAGTTACCAATGATGATGATGATTATTATTAACTTGACAATTTTCTACTGCATTTTGCACCACATGTAATTGGGACTGCACTAAACCTTTCCATGTTAATGCCCTTTTGCACCATTATTTTTTAAACTTGTTTCCTTTTCTCCTACACTGTTAACATGCTGATCACTGCTGAACTTTATTAGGGTAATGTTTATCTCACTGTTGTAAGCTGCTTACTTCACTGTTGTAAGCTGTGAGCAACGTAATTTTGATTTGTATACACTCGATGTATATAAAATTTAAAAAAGTTTGTCTAAGTCTAAGTCTCTAAGAGCCCCCAATCTAGTAGTCAAGGATTTAATTATAAGGTTGCATGTATTTGATTATACATTAAAATTCAGACACGATGCAGGTACGTTTGCCAGATATAGAACAAACTGACTCATCACAATACATCTTCCTTCCTGCTGCACAGGACGGTGAATGCTGAAGGATCTGTCCTTGGTGCTGAATGTGTAGCAAAATACATGCTATGTAGAGTTTCTTTAACCTAAATAAAGTGATTAGACCAGCATTTTTCCTTCATTTTTCTTCTACCATTGTAAAATGTTGTGCTTCCGTAAACAAGTTTTAATATAAGAGGGAAGAGGATGCTTTTTCATACACTTTATCATCCTGTGCCAGTGGTGGGAAAAAAGCCTTTTTTTGTCAAGCCGCTCTTTAAAAAAGGATGTAAAATGTTCTTTAAACTGCTTCAGTCTCAAATCAGGACTATGCATTCAGTGCACATGTGGGCAGAGGCCTCATGGTGATTCATTAATGAGCTAAAGGCAGAACATCACGCTGTGAGCCGAGTTCTGCTCAGATTGTGACCACTGATGGCACGCAGCTGTCAAATTGTGATCTGTGGGCCAACATTATCCTGGAATGGTTTGTTAGTTAAATAAACCACTTAACAGAATTATGTTTGGAGCTTAACAAAAGAGAGGAGCAGCAGTGAGGGCTAGAAATGGAAAATAAACAGGAATGAATGTGTTTCAAAACAATTAGAAATCCTTCATCAATGTCCCCTGTCTCATACAAACAGGTTGAAAGGCTATAATTATAGTCTGACCTTACAGCGAAACACTCATTTGTGTTTCATTTTTTTTCTTTAACTTCTCCCAGGTTGAGGCATCTTCAGTTTATCTAATATTATATATTTGGTTTTTAAGAAATAACCTTAAGACTTTTTAAACTGGTGGATCTTGTTTAATAGTGTTATTCGGTTACTTTTGCAATGGATTAAATGAGAATTTTGTTTTAGGTTTGTGTTTTGACCAATGCATCCCATGTCTTAGCTTTGCATTTTACACCAACAATAATGATCTTTTCAAAAGTAATTTATTGTTATCAATGAGGGAATTAGTGGTGTTATTAATGCCCCCTCGCCTACAGATTTCTGCATATTCATGGGCTACTCTAATCTAAAATGAAGATGAAAGCTCTGTGAGATGGAAAAGAACAGTTTCTGCAGTTTTCCTAGCAGCACGGATGCTTATCTTTTCCCCAATTCCTTAGTTATCAGAATTTCATAAAGCTGAATATGATATTAAATATAGTCTTTTAGTTCATACCCATCAAAAGGGTGCCCTTTTCAATTGTTCTGCTCCTGCTTGGCAGTTAATTTGTTCTTTTAATGCCATACTTTGCTACTAAACTTTATTTTCCCTATCAATATTAACAAGGACTCTCTAAAAAATAGAATTAAATCTACATAATTGTTTTTTTTATCTGTGCATGAAAACATAAAGGATGTCTTTAGTTTTGCAAGCTCAATATCTGCAGAAGAAGTTCATTTACACGGAAGAAAGGCCTCCTGATCTCTGTGCAGTTTTAATGTGAAAGGATCTAAAGTTACTGAACCTATGAGCAAAGACTGATAGTAAGTTTAGTAGCTGTATATGCAGAAATAACAGGATTGAAAAATATGATAGAAGGCATTCATCATATTTAGCCAGTATTTGCAGCAGTTGCTTTTGGAACTAAAAGAAAACAGATTTTTTTTTTTTACAGGGAGGCCAAGAGAGTTCTTGGTCCTGCTGGGGTCCTTCTTCCTTCAGCTCAGTCCAGAGGTTTTCTGTGGAACCTTGGTATTCAGACTAAAGGGCACTTTACACTGGTGGGATCAAAAGCTCATAAACAACAACACCTCTGTTATTTGTTATTTTATGTCAAACAACCAAAAGCCCATGCTGCAAGGAGGAACAACCAGCAATCCAATTTCATCCTGTTCTAGTTACATCTAATCATAATGCATTTAATTCACATCTAAATGCCTCTAATTAAACTACCCAAGGCTGGAGTCCAGTAATCTCAACTCACTTCAGCACAGCGCATCTAATATGTGTTGAAAGTGCCAACTGATGCATATTAATTAACAAGATGCTCCAGCAGTGCTCCTGATGTGCCTTCTGCTTAGGATGGCTATGGGAGAAGTTTCACTTTTTTGTGTGTGTGTGTGTCTGAATCATTAATGCTCTCTTGATCATTATCCTGAACAAAATACCAGTAAGGACATATTATGGTTCTAGTGGAAGAGGCAACTCTTTTTACATCATTCTGATCATTTTAATGAAAGTGGCATTTTGAAGAGTTCATGTTAGGGTTGAAGACAGTGGCCAAAATGTAACTGTTTAAAATAACTGTTTCACAAATGTATTGTCTGTTTTTACACCAAACCTGGGATGTCTGACATGGGAATCTGAATCATTTTGGACCAAAATACGCATCATCAGTTAAAGCCTAAGTAGCATTTAGCTAAGAATATACATTTACTCCAAAAATAGAAAATTAAAAACAATCCACTGGACTTTGTATCCAGGTTTGAAGACATTTCTCTTCCCATCCAAGAAGTTTTTTCAATTCAAATGTCAGGAATAGCGTTAAGTTTGAGGTTTTATACAGTTGCCCAGCGAAGCCTTGTTTTTGATTTGAAAACATGCAAATTGAAATGATTGAAGGGGTCTACCCCTTTGGAATGGGGGTCATTTGGCTTCTTTTGTTAGCCTGCAATGCCCCATACCCATCTAAGTGTCAACTCAGTCATTTTTTAAAAGGAGTTGCTTTTCAAAATTAAAGTCCTGTAGATCTTTTAATACACTTTTATTTCACCAGGTGTATTTGTTTGTTTGATTTTATATTTCCACCAAGACTAACCCTACATCTCTACTCCGGGTCAGAGCTGAATCAGATGAATCGCGGCTAATTGGCGCGAACAATACCCTCTATTAAGAAATTGATTCTCTTTGTTTGGAGAGTCAAGCATCACTTCCATTTTAGCTTTAAGAATACTTTTGTGGAAAAAAAATTTAACATTTAGGTCAGTTTGGTGTGTCCTTGTGTTGCAAGAAAAAGATAAGTCCTAGATCAAGTGTAAAAAGGTGCAAGAAGATGTTTGATTACAAGAGGGTTAAAATTTAAGTTCTGCATAGAAAACCACACTTTAGTACCCTAATCCTGGAGTTAAAGCTCAGCAGCAGTCTGTTGTTGCTGCAAAGTTAATAGACACGTTAATGCATGTCCTTGTACTTGGAATGTCTTTCTAGCTGGCTCTCCTACTACTGGTAGTACGGTAGGGTGCTACAACAGTAGTGCATATCTCCTACCTTAGTAATTATTTAAAATTAAAAATCCCCCCACAAATGACCAAATTACTTTTTTCTGAAACCAAAGCTCCTGTGATGGTACTACTGCTCCTTGATAACAGGCAGGGAAGGACTCACTGGAACTTGAATAATTTGCTGTCGGTTTTCAGTGAGGTATTACAACATGGTTGGCTTGGACAGTACTTATTTCATAGCTGTGCCAATGGCCTCCATCTGGGATATTGGCAGTTCAAAGGCTCTGCCAGTAGATGGTGCCACATCTGTTTCTGTTACCTCAATGTGCATTCTAGGGTTCTATTAAGGCTTAAAAAGGACCATCAAGATGGACACTTGGAGTATAGCCTTTTTTCCATATAATCAACTGAATCTGGGCTTTTGGTATAGGCAAATAACATGGCAATGTACCTTTTAGTGATCTAGTCATGGTAGTTTGACCTGTGCAATAACAATATTTCTCTGTTCAAGCAATTTTTTTTCTTGTTGCTTAAACTATTAACAAAGACTTAGCATTATTGGAAAGTTACTAAGATGACAAACCAACATTGACAGGCACAGCACCTTTCGGTAACACTTTATTTGAAGGGGTGTACATAAGACTGACATTACACTGTCATAAACATGACATAACACGTGTTATGAACATTAATGAATCTTTATGAATGTTAAGGACTGTTGTCATTAATTGTCATTCGGTAAATTATGACACTATTAAAGCAAAGTTGACATTGTTTAAAATGTCTTTGTTATGACAACTTGACATTAACAGAGACAAAAATGTCTTTGTTATGACAACGTGACATTAACAGAGACAAAAATGTCTTTGTTATGACAACGTGACATTTACAGAGACACAAATGTCTTCATTATGACAACTTTACATAAACCCAAAACTCATAACCCATCATAAATATGTCATGACAGATCTAATTATAAACCTTTAAAAAGTTATTGTTGTGCATTTTACATTAAATTACACTGTCATATGTGATTGTTCTTAACTTTGGCTATCATGAGACCATTTAAATTGTATAATAAAAATGTCTCCTTATAGGACTAGTTATAAATATGTCATTAAGCGTTTATATCCTGTCAAATGCATTAATAACATTGCCATGAAAATGTTTCCTTACCTCAAGTAAAGTGAAACATATAGGACTAGTTATAAATAAGTCATTGAGCGTTATTATGCTGTCAAAAGCTTTAATAACAGTGCAATATCTTCCTAGACCTTTAAAACTATTTATTACACTGATAAATGCTTTTAAATACTTTAACAAAACCAATCCACAAGTAAACACAAACACTTTCTTTTATTTGCTTTAAACAATATTATTATTTTTTCTTCCTCCAACAGAGAGTTCAATTTCTAGCAGTGTTTCAGCACAAACTTCAGTAGAAAAAAGAAAAAGTTGTTCTTCCTCAAACAGAGGGATCAACTTCTTGTTCTGCAGATTTTATTTCTGAAATACTAATTAAAACAACTGAAAAAACAATTACTTCTTTAACAAAGTTGTTTCAAAAGTCATAGTCTATATTTAGTTGAGATATTGTTTAACATCATGGAAAAGTCTGCCCAAGACACCATTATAATGACAGACACCTAACCAGTGGTGCCACTCTATCATTTTGAGGTGACTCTGTAGTGTCTCAGGAGTTCGATTGCCTCTATGACGCCATATTTCCAACTTGTAATTCTGCCATGCGCGCTCAATGTGTTGAGTATGAGCACCAGTGACTGGGTCAACAAAGTTTTTTTTATGGCAGACAGAGTACTGGTGATATCCATACTGGGAAAGCTGCCCCCTGTAGGCACGCCATTCATCTGTGAGGATAGATGTCCTAGGTCTGATATGTCGTCGTATTTGGCATGTAAGGGTTTGCCTTGAGCGGTCCTTGACCAGTTTCAGAATGGGTTTTCTAGAATTTTCATCAACCTCCAGCATCCCGAAGACCCACTGGCGTTTGCGATGCGATGTTTTGCCACATCTGCCACGATGGTACTGAAACGTAAAGCAAAGGAGACAAATACTTAAATTTACATAAAAAGAGGGAAAACCTCCTAATCCAGTGTTTATCCTACCATTTTATAAGGGGGCACCCTGCCAAAAAATCGATGGCCACCCCCAAGAAGGTCAGGGAATATTATAAATTACTATAGGTCTGTAGAGGAACATGGTTAATTTAATCATAATTAGCTGTTCTAAATTGTGCCAGATTGTATCCGAAGCTATTTCTATCTCTAGGCTCACACAAGGTAGACATTAATCCACCAACAGGTACAAGGAGAGCTTAATTTTACAAGTGTATACCCAGTGCCAAGCGCGGTGGTTACCTGCTGTAGAAAATTTAGGAATTTGTCACAAAAAAAATTTAGTTTCGCAAAACTATCAAGGGTAAAACGTCCTGTATTTGGGTTCAGAAAATTCCAGGTGTGATGAAGCCTTTTTTTTCTCCTAAGCTAAGATGTCCCTCCTACTTTCAGCTCAGTCACCTGGGTTTGCACGCAGGTAAAGTCACACTATCGCCATCGGACAGAACACACTGAGTTCCAAAACATTTTTATCACTTGGGCTGGGAGCGCAGGATCCAAAAGGATAAATGTGTGCTTATCTACAACAGAAAAGGACACATTTGTTTATTTTATGTCGTTCCCCAGTTAACTCAATAAACTGAGAATATTTAATATAAGTATGACTCGATTATTATAAACATTAGTGCTCAATACGGGACATTGTCAACAACTAAACGCCTCTATAGGCATGGTTCCACTGGCTCGAACAGGCCGTGCACAGCAGGAGTCCACTCACTCCCAAGTATCTCAGGAGTGTTTTTTTCCAGGCCTTTCTGCTTTGCTCAAGAGTGTGGTCAGTGTGTCCTGGCCTGAGAGAGGTTTTGAGTGAATTCCCTTTTTTTCAGAGATTGGCTGCAGGAAGTGGAGAAATTAGGTTTGCTCCATGGAGGTCCAGAAGAATTGAAGACCAACATATAATATTATGGACCACTATGAACAGAGTGGGGCAAATCCAAATATGTTTTTTTTTATCGTCAAAACCATGAACCACTCCTGAAGGGTAAAAATAAGCATTAGGAAATCGGAGTATTTAAATTTATTTTCACAAAATGTATATCTGGTTATGTAAAAGGTTAAATTAGACCTGCATAAAGAATTATAACTTACCTTTCGTTTGTGAGCAAATTTGCTCTCATCAATAATAACGAAGCGATGACGACCACCAACTTTCATTCCTCTTTTCCTCAGGCGCACAACGGCAGCCATGCACACCTTCAAATGTAAAAAAAATACATCAACAAGTTGACTTGTAATATTGCCTAACAATGATATTTGACAAATATAATGTATTCACAGGTTTAGGGAAGAAGTGACTTTGTATGTGCATTTCTACGTATTAACTATTATGTTTGTCCAATACAAGTGTTACTGAGTGAACCTAGGACTGGGATATAAATTTGATTTTAACGGTTAATTCAAATTTGCAAATTTGCCATTTATGAAGGTTTAATTTTTGGAAAATCAAGCCAATCCGCTCCATGGCCCTCCGTCCCTCCCTCCATCTATCGATAAATAGAAAGTGTAAATTGTTTTGGTAAAAGCTTGCATTGTTGAATATATGTTTAGGAAAGTATACTGTGGAAATAAGCCATCAGGAAGTCCACAAAATGCAGCAAAAGTCTTCAGCTGATCCAAAATGCTGAAGCAAGAGTTCTGATAAAAATCAACAAGAGGGATCATATTTCTCCAATTTAAGCTTCCCATAGTTGGCTTCCTGTTAAATCAAGAACAGATTTTAAAATTCTCCTTCTAACGTATAAAGCCCTTAATAATCAAGCTCCATCATATATCAGAGCTCTGATTACCCCGTATGTTCCTAACAGAGCACTTCGCTCTCAGACTGCAGGTCTGCTGGTGGTTCCTAGAGTCTCTAAAAGTAGAATGGGAGGCAGATCTTTTAGTTTTCAGGCTCCTCTCCTGTGCAACCAACTCCCAGTTTTGGTCCGTGAGGCAGACACCCTGTCTGCTTTTAAGACTAATCTTAAAACTGTTCTTTTTGACAAGGCTTATAGTTAAAGTGGCTTATGTTACTCTGAGCTACCTCTATAGTTATGCTGCTATAGAATTAGGCTACTGGAGGACATCAGGGTCTATTTTTCTCACTCTATTGAGTTCTACTGTTATCAATTTTGCATTGCTTGTTGTCATTTCAGCTTTTAACTTTTGTTCTCTCTCATTTTTTTCTTCATAGTAAGTACACACTGTTATCTGTAACATCATCCAGGTAAGACAGATCACCTGCTATTACCATCTAATGTAGAACAGATTACTGGATCAATGTGTGCTTCTGTGCTTGTTTGTCTCTCGTTGTCTCTGCTCTCTCTTCTCTAACCCCCAGTCAGTTGAGGTAGATGAGCATTCACACTGAGCCTGGTTCTGGTTCTGCTGGAGGTTTTTCCTTCCCGTTAATGGGGAGTTTTTCTTTCCACTGTTGCTTCATGCTTGCTCAGTATGAGGGATTGCTGCAAAGCCATGGACAATGCAGACGACTCTCCCTGTGGCTCTACACTTCTCCAGGAGTGATGCTGCTTGTCAAGCCTTTGATGCATCAACTGGTTCCCTTATATAGGACATTTTTTGACCAATCTGTATAATCTGACTGATTTTGATTTTGTAAAGCGCCATGAATTGGCGCTATATAAATAAAATCGAATTGAACATACTCGAAAGATGAAACTTTTTTTACCCTAACACTAGGGTTTCTGCTATATGTAATTGATCATGGCGCTGCCACACAAAAATAAAAGCTGCCACACCTTCAGAATCAATTCAAAAATGTTAAAATAATGTAAAGCATATGATATAGCATAACTATATCATATGATGTAAGTTTTGTGAAAAGAAAAATTATTGCACTATTAGTCACAATACAGGCACTTATCTTTGTTCAAGTGGAACCTTCTATTTATTTTAGCCTTATTTTAAGGTTTACTCTTCAAGCCCAATAGGGAAATCCATTTTTGTTTGTTAATGTTTTTTGTCAGAAAAATTATGTGACTGATTTCCTAGTTTTATCTAATTTTTAAGGAAAAAAATCTATTAAAATAATGTATCACAGATTTTATTTTTAAGCCATATCACTCAGCGCTAAGTGAACTAAATAAATGTGTAGTACTATTGAATTCAACTATACATTTTGACTTCAAACAATTAAATTAGATTTTTTTAACAGCAAATGAATAACAGTAACAGATAATAATAATGCAAAAACCTTTCTTAGAATTGTTGTCATTCTTGTGAGTGTCTTGGAACTTGCTGCTATTCCCTCTGAGATCATGGTTAGTTGTTTCAGTTGTAAACCTTGTGAAAACCTGAAGAAAAAGACATTAAGTAACATAAGCGAAATGGAATTGTACTATCTTAATGATAAAGACATGGCCTGCTATTGACTTAAGACTTACAAAAATGAATATACATTTTATTTTTAATAACATGTAAACTGTACCTTAACATGAACTCAAGCCATTTTGCCAAAGGGGTGTGAGACTTTGTGAATATGGACCCATTACGCACTGACAATGGGTTGCTTTTGTGATGCTTACATACCCTGATGGGAGAAAAAAGGAAAAACCTGGATCAAGGTTACATAACAGCTAACGTTTTGCTGTACGAGAAAGCCAAGTTAACTTTGCTAGAGCACTGCCCATACAGTTTGTTTTGCACTATTCCTTTTAAGCTGTATTACAAAATTTGTACCAACTAGCTAATTGCTAAGTTTACAGTTACGTATATAACGTTAGATCAAAGCTTCTGCTTACCAACGCAGCCCATCGTTGCGATCGCATTTTAAAAGTTTCCTTCTCCGATGGCATTTTGCACAATTCATCATCCTCTTCAGAATACCACATCTCTGCATCCATTTCACTATTCGTCTTTTGTTTTTCTTTGTATCAGGACGCCTAATATTTTTAAGAAGTCCGCGTAACAATCTTGTCATTTCTACAGCCTGCGATCATTCAGCCCGGTATTTTTTTTTCAGCCCGGTATTTTGGGTTAGGACCCCAAGAAACTTCTGGGCGCTATTTTACGTTGCCAGACAGAAAAGCGCCCCCACCTGTTTATGTTAACAATACAGACAAACGACACATTGGAAAGAATTAGACAATATTCAACATTTAGCGTTACAATTATGTAAAGGAATATTTAAAACAACACCAACAAAACCTTTTAAAGTATTGATAGGAAAAATGCATTTACAATTAAAAACAACTCAAATGGTAATAAATTATTGTATATACTTAGCAGTCATCCAGATGAAACAACATTAGAGACTCTAAAACCATGCTGGGAAAAAGACATAAAGTGCGGTTGGATAATCAATAAGAAGTTAAAAGAACACAAATAAGTAACGAAAACATAAATTCAATAGTAACATTAACACAGATTCCACTATGGATTTTAACAAATACAAAAGTAGTTTAGCATTTATGAACCAAAAATAAATTAATAAAGATAAAAAGGAAAAATAAGTCATATTCAATTCATATATACTGCAGGAATACATACAGTAAATAGTTTTTCTTAATATGTAAAGATATTGACAGATACATCAAAAAACTCTTATGGCCACATAAGAAAAGCAAGTGTTGTACCAAAAGTGCAAAGAAAACAAATCAATAAGGGACTATCAGTATACACGGGATAATTTTTATCCATTCTATTAGCATTACAGTGGATAGAGTCCTAAAACCATTAAAAGCATTGGTAAGTTTGGATTCGAGTTCTGCACTTATACATTTAAAGCAAAGTCACTCTGAAAGCAGACAAGACATTTTAGTTTAAATACAGCATGCGTTGTTCAGAATTCAGATAATGGAATTATTAATTTTTTTAATGGGTACCAGCAGCCATTGAAGGCCAAAATGGCAACAACAAAGGAAAATTAATTTGTGTAATTACAATAAAATCAGAGGCGAGAAGTGTAGTTAAACAAATAAATAAATAAAAAGTGACAAAATTAATGAAAAGAAGCAAAAAAGAGTAGATTGTATTATATGATTCAATGTGATACAATCAAGAGAAATGAGAACAGGACAGAGAAACAGGAGGGAGGATAAATTAATAAATAATTAACGTTTGGTCACACAGGATCTAATTATATATTGCATATATTCATTTTAAGAAATAAACAATATGGGAAGATGTCAACATTGTGTAGATATTGTAATATTAGCATGTGGGAGATATGAAAAAGAAAGAAGATAGATGATAGAAGACCTTGGAAAGATTCAAGAAAAAAAATAATGTAATAATTATATTGCTGAAAGATTAAGACAGTAAAATTATCATAATATGATTACATTTTTTTAAAAGCAACAAAGGTGGGTAATGAAATTTGAGGATAGCAAGAAATTAAATAGAATTAATTGATAATCATTCTGTACCCCACTCCATGTCGGTAGATGGCGGTAGTGCTCAGATGGTGTTTTTTTGCAAACCGCCAAAAAAAAAACTCCACGAAGAAGAACACCACCTTCGTCTTGTGTGCCTGCCTAATGTAAGCTAGAAGAAACGTCTGGACCAGACCATATTTTACTTGCGGTGTAAAAGGGAATAGAGGTAACTCCCCATATATATATAAAAGGTAGTGATGGTGAGATGAAGCCTCATGAGGCATTGAACCGTTTGGCCAAATTGCTTCAACGATCCCCACAGTTCATGAGGCTTCATGTGAACATGTCACCACCTACTGGTGGACAGCAGAACTACAGTTTGTAATAAAATCTGTGATTTTTTTTTTTTGTGCAACTTTTTTTCTTTTTTTCTCTTTTTAAGTTCCCTTGAAATTGTTAATGGTTGGTGTGTATAATAAAATCTTTTGTAAGTTTTTTTAAGTGTAAAATTCACAACAATCATTTAAGGTGCACAGTTTTTCTGCAATTTTATTGAAATAAACTCAAGCAGACAGTGAAAGTGTTTGTGCAAATTGGGCAATGATGAACAAAATGAAAGGTGTTAAGTCATTTTTATTCAAACATGATAGTTTTTCCATGTTTTTTGGTTTTAATCAGATTGGAAGTTGTGTTCAACCAATCTTTTGACTAAACCGGCCTAATTTACCCAATCTATATTTTTACTCGGGCAAAACAATGCAGTTTAGTCTCATCAGCCAAAATAATTAAGTTTAATCGCAACTTTCAAAAGAGAGAGACAGGTCTTGAACATCAACCTCTAGCATGAGAGTGTGTCCCTTACAGAGGACGCCACTCATGTAGATAGTCTAATCTGGGAGAAAATAGTTGTTAAAACTGACGTGTTAAGACTGGCTTTGTCTGGTGGTTTGCTCAAATTTTGATCATTATATTGTTTATTCAAACCAAATTAGCTTTAAGCAACTAGATTGGTTGGAAAAACAACCAATTTATTCTTAGAATCTATCCAAACTTTATCCAGCTGACAGCAGCTCTCCTCCAATCTCCCACATCTTGACTGAACACTGAGGCTGTTTAGATGCCTGTCAAAATTCTTGCGCTTCCCGAACCACATACCGAAGCGGTCACGTGGTATCACGGTAGCGAGGCCACGGACGTCATCAATTTTGGCCCCGCCTCTAAATGAATCACGCCTCGACACGCGCTTCGGGGAAACGCCCCCTCCATTACTCGACACACGCCTCGAAGCCTCGGCTCATCTCATAACATCACTAATAAAAGGTAAGCTTATGCTTAATATTTAATTACATTTTTTAAGAAAAAAACAGTTTTCGTTCCATCTAAAGTTGATTTCAGCTAGCTTTCAGTTAACGTTAGCTAAATTCAACTAACTCTTTATCTAGAACATTAGTCATTAATGTTGTACACATTCTAGAAATTCTGGCATTTATATTTTTTTCTCAAATTTAAATCTAGCAAACAAACTACCAGGTCAAAGTTACGTTTTGTGTGTTTTACTAAAGCAACTTGACTGATGTCACATGCTGCTTGTGTTCTTTTTTTGTGCCAATTTTAGCGAGATGGAGACTCGTTTTGGCAAAAAGACACGCGATGGGGGGGTACAGGACGCTGTCGAAGACGTGCAAGAGGTCGTGGAGGAGGCTTTCGTGGACAAGCCACAAGATTTAGAACTCGTCTCCGTTGGTCAAAAGCCTAAGAAGCAAATGAAATATTCCCCAAGGAAACTGTGTAAGTCATTTTTGGTGTACTATTTTCTCCAGAAGGGCTTGAAATTTACTCATCCCACCAGCCCAGTTAATACAAAAGTTACATTTTAGGCTGCTAAAGGTTTTTAATTTGTCTGTAAACTATATCATCTGATGTTCAATCTCTTTATTTAGTAACGCTTCAATGTCTTACGGCCTTTTGAAGGCATATTTTCGCCTGAAGATTTTTTTTATTTCATAGTGGTGTTATAACACCATCTAAAATGTTACAGTTAAGCATTATACATCCATTTTTCATTGATAAGCTTATTTGTCAATATGTAGAAATGCACATACAAAGTAATTTCTGGTTCAGCGAATACTTTTGTGAAGTTAAATAAATCGTATTGTTTAAATGTATCACTATCTGCGCAGTTAAGCACAATAAGCCTTCATAAAGGACTGTTGCTTTGCTGATTTTTATCTTATTTATAGCCTTTTTCTTACAAATTCATGCTAGCGTATCCAGTCAAACCAAGCTAATATCTTGTCGTCTAACAGTATTTTTAATCTGCATTATGCACTCTGATTAGGGAACTTTGCGTCACATTACCAGGACGCATTGGACAGTGATTTTTATTCGTTTTCTATACGGTTTTGGAGGGCAAACCACTATGTTGATGGTATCAGTGGAAAATCTAAGATCTCACGTTTTGGATAAAAAAAAAAAAGGAAATTAGTAGCTATTATGGATTAAGAGATACATCCAAAAATGTACAATAGCCCTTGAAGGTTTAATAAGCCTCTTGCAAACATAAATAAGCCATTGCATTTATTTTTAAATATTTTATGAAGGCATATTAAGTGACAAAAATATGCATCTTGTAGAGCTGGAAGATATGGCTCAAAAATAAGATAGATTAATTGATTTTTATTCTCCCTTAAATTTCTTACTAAAAATTAAGAACGCCATGAATTACTTTCAAAAGCTGACTTTTATTCGAATTCTAAGTGCAACTAAATCCAACCTGTGAAACATTCTGGAAAAAAGTACTTTGTAGCCCCTGCCACTGAAAAGGATTAAACATAACACACTTAATATTAAAATCAAATGTTTTTACCCAATACATATTTCCAGGGTCACCAACGGGGGCAGTGGAGTTGACCAAACTGAAACATCAAGCAAAGATGGATAGACAGAAGATTGATCATCTTGAGGACCGCATTAAATACCTGGAGGAGGCCAACAGGGAGCTGAAAAAGGACAAAAACTTCCTTCTGTCACAAATTAAGGAAGCCACTGTGGCACCTGCATCTAGCAGCAAGTCAGGTACAACGGTCATAAAATCAATAGCAAAATAGTATGGATTTTGAAGTGTAGAGTGACATGGTTATGCTCACTGTGAGGCGTTGTACATAGTGCACCAAAAGGCTATTATTTTATAGTCATAGGAAACCAAGCATTTAAGGTGCAGACGTCCACCTCAAACCAAGATGACTCACATGTAATTTTAATATTACCCCTTTAAGTAACCTGGCTCTGGCCAGATGGATGTAGTTCCGCCGACCTTCACACGGCTCCACACATCCATCTGGACTTGCTGCTATTGTGATGGATTTCCATTACCCATAAAATGGATGGACCAATCATAATTTCCGCTTGGGATTTGTGACATATGTCTGAGTAGCAACCTTTTGGATTCAGGCAAAGGCGCCTCGCAGTTTACTGTATTTTCTGGATTATCAGGCACACTTAAAATCATCACATTTTCTCCAAAAATGATGTTACACATTTTTAATCTGGTGCACCTTATGATTACCATAGTTCTTGTGCTTAATTCAATAAATTTTTTTAGATAGCAATAATTCATGAAACATGTCATCTCAAGGCACTTTACAAAGTCAAGTTCAATCATATTAAACAGATTGGGTCAGATTTTACAGATTGGTAAAAAAAAAATCCTATATATGGGAACCAGTTTATTGCATCAAAGTCTTGACAAGCAGCATCACTCCTGAAGAAGCGTAGAGCCACAGGGAGAGTTGTCTGCATTGTCCATGGCTTTCCAGCAATCCCTCATACTGAGCAAGGATGAAAAACTCCCCATTAACGGGAAGGAAAAACCTCCAGCAGAACCGCGCTCAGTATGAACGGTCATCTGCCTCGACCGACTGGGGTTTACAGAAGACAGAGCAGAGACACAACAAGAGAGACAAACAAGCACAGAAGCACACATTGATCCAGTAATCTGTTCTACAGTAGATGGTAATAGCTATCCAGAGCTGTCTTCAGTGGGTGATATCTAAGATAACAGAACGCCAGACAAGATGTACCTACTATGAACAAAAAAGAGAACAAAAATTTAAAAGAAGAATTGATGACAAGCAATGCATAATTGAAGAGCAGTAGAACTCTATAGAGTGAGAAAAACAGATCACAATGTCCTTCAGTAGCCTAAGCCTATAGCAGCATAACTACAGAGGTAGCTCAGGGTAACATGAGCCACTCTTAACTATAAGCTTTTTTAAAAAGGAAAGTTTTAAGATTAGTCTTAAAAGTAGACAGGGTGTCAAATGAATAAACCAGGGAGCCAGCTCCCTGTGAATTATCACCTTCTTTTTCAAGGGAGCTACATTGTCTTATGCAGGATGCAATGGCTAAGTCACACCGTTAACAAAGGTGTCGATTTGTGAAAGGCAAGAAACAGCATTGCTGCCATCTACAGGACATTTCTGCAATGCTAAGGATATTAAAAGGGGGACAGACTCTTTAAGTTTGGATACATCATTATCCGATAAAGATCTAATATAATGGAACGTTCTTTTGGGGGTGGAGAACTCAGATTAAACTCAAAGGTTATTAAAAAATGGTCACATAAGACAGG